ATTAACAAGTCATAAGTTATGAATGAGCACTGCTAAAACGTCATTAGTATTAGTCAAATTAGTTAACTTTCAGCCACGCAAGCCTCTTATTTCAGAATGTTCACTTTGTCTGGTTTTGTTGCAGTCTGCCCCACATCATAATTAGCCTCTCAATAATAGAGTATTCACTTTGTCTGGTTTTGTTGCAGTATGCCTCCTATTTTATGTAGAGATAATCCTATATTAATTAAGCATTTGTAATTCTCAGTAGAACGTTATTCAATGATAATAATAATAACGTTACATTTTGGTGTGATATAATTCAAAATTGTACTTACTATTACATAAATTCGTGTATAATATATAATATATATAAGTTTTACAGCAAACATGTTAATGTGTTAACTTTCAGCCACATACATCTCAACATCTGCTTTATTCAATTGATTGACACTTCAGCTATTAAACATAAATGATCTGAATTAAATTTGTAATTGGGTATTGAAGGCAATATATCCATTTCTCTTGGCATTTTCAACAATTTTACTACTTGCATTTCCTCACTTGTGTCCCTTTCTATGTCATCTCTATTATTATTACTGCTTTTTCCTAAATAAAAAATATAGTCCAGAGTGCCTTTGTAATACTCCCCATAATTTGTAAACTTGGGTTCTGATCTGTTAGTATTTGCTGGATCGATACTTGTATAGTGTTGAGCATAGAGTGAGACACATTTAGGAAGAGTTTTAAATGCAGATATTATTGTTGATAGTGACCTCAGTTCCGTGTGAGGTGTGTTGGAAGTTGAATCAGTCGGAGAATCTTCATTGTTGCTACAAAACGGTTTCATTGAGTTTTGAAGAATATCTATATGGTCTTGGGTTAATGAGCTTCCTGTTAAGAGTGCATAACTTGGATCTTCTGGAGCTGAATTAAAGTCTACATATTGAATGTTATTTAAGTACAAGCCTAGTACAAACCACGGTAAGCATTTTAAATTTGGCAACAAACCTCCAGCCAGGAATGCATGAAACTCAAATTCCTTGTTTATGTCATTGAGTCGGTCAACAAGTATGAGACACTGTCTTGACCGTTCATACATACTTTGGGGTCTCCAATACAGGTGTGTTGTCCCTATGACAATACCATCTGCAGTTGCTTTATTAGATGATTTAAATTCCAATACCACAATAAGCCCCACACATTCAGTGGGCATCGTTGGCACTTCAAATTGGTCATATGAAATTGAATCTTCTTTGAGCTTTGTAAATTTGCTTATTCTCCAGATGATACAACAGCCTAAATGACAAAAAATCAATGTAAATGTATATGCAACCAAACTATTGCGTTAATATCATATTTTAGAAAGTCAATAAAGCTTAATTACCGTGTCTCTTTTTTGTGCTTTTGACATAAACACAATCATATCCCGCTTTCTCAAATTCTGGTTTAAAAGTGTCAATGTACGTATTCTCATCCATCTCTTGAAAGCATCCAATATCAGGCGAATAGTAAAGCATTTCTTTCAATAGACCTGGACGACGATTTTTCCATTTCAGTGCATCACCGCATTGAGGAAAGAGTTCACGACGGCAAAGGGATTGAGCTAGTATCTAATCATATGATAAGTTAGTAATTAATAAGCCCAAATACCAACTGTCTTTTTCTTTTATTTGCACTTACATTGTAAGTCATAATCTTGACTCTTTCCCCTTTAATATCCGTCAATTCTTCTACGACATCGACCATGGGCCTCAAAATGGGTTCTATACCATTCTCCGTTCTCTTCTCTTGCTCTTGCTGCTGTCTTTGTTGTAATATTCTCTGCTCCTCTCTCCTTCTCTGCTTCTCTAGCCGGATCTTTTCAATGTCTTTCTTATCACGTCGGCCATATGCTTTCTTTGAGGTAGTAGCTTCTTGGATATTTGATGTATTTGGTAAGTCTGTGAAAGATGAATTAGAAGACGGAACATCCATTCAGTACATTGAGATCCGCAATGTTTTTTAATGTATTCGGCTGGTTCGTGATACGCAACACAAGTGGATAAATTCTTTACTGACTTTTACTGCTATTGTGATCGCCCCTTGTTGAGCTATTCTCTTCTAATAGTCCGAGAGATGGATCTACCAATAGAGATTCTATTTCAGATATTTGCGCACGTATATCCTCCTAACATAAAGAAGGAACGGAGTGTGATTCCTGTTCTGACGGCGAGGAGGAGACATGACGCACGAAGAGATGTTTTATCGTGCTCACTGGTTTGCAAATTCTGTAAGTAAAGTGGGAAGTGCCAATGACTGTAACTATTACTTACGTTCTTTGCATGAGTGCACTAGGAGAGAAGAATATGTACTTTACATTCTCGGCAAATACTTTAGTTTAATGTATATGTCTTAACGCATTATTCTTTCTTGCTATTTGCATAGGGAACGCCGTGGCCAACTATATCTTATGGACCGAACCCGAATTCTACTCGACTGATTCTCTAATTCGTTTTATTTACGTACTGGGCAATACAACATCTCGCGGGAGTATAGTTAAATTACGCGACGGTTCGGACAATGCATGGCAATCAATACTCGACTATAATGATAAATCAAGTCCAGATAATCGATTTTTAGTCCGTCGATTATCTTTTCGTCCCAAAGTAACAGATACACAGCCTTATTTTGACTGCCCGTTGACCAAATATATCAACGACAATCACGTTCACATACTGGCTGAGCGTCTCCCATATCTAACCTCGATTTCTCTCCGCGACTGCACTCATGTGACTGATAACTCGGTTATTCACCTTGTGGCCGCATGCAGCGAGCATCTCCGTGACTTGGATTTAACCAACTGTCTCCATATCACTGATGCTACCGTGCATGTTATAGCGAGTGTTTGCGAGCGACTGGAGCATTTATCTTTACGTAGATGTGGAAAGATAACTGACAGTGGAGCATGGAGGCTGAGAACATTATCGTTGAAAGCCATAGATTTGAGTTGGTGTAGGCGGGTGAGTGATGCACCGATTAGGCATTTAGTAACTGGAAGGGGAACATTGCAACGTGCATTGAGACGGCAGGAGGATGAGAATGAAACGCGCAATGTTGGAAACATTCGGGATGAAAAACGTTTGGATGGTGGGATATCGGGTAAAGTAAATAATGCTAGACATTTAGCGAATGGGGGGAGAACGTTGTGGCAGCAAAAGGGAGAGGAAAATGAAAAATGTTTGGATGATGTGATACTGAGTAAAGCGGGCGGAACGTATAGTAGTGGGATGGACGACATAAGTGAGAATAGACGATGCGAGTTGGTGGAGTTAAGAGTTGCTGGATGTCGTCGAGTGACTAGAGAAGGTCTTGTTCGGCTAGCAGAAGAGCTATTTATTCCCAGCCGTAATCCAGAGAACAGAGTCATACAGATGGAGACTCTCGAATTTTCTTGTCCAACAAGTAAAATATCAGGCTGTTTCAAGGACATAACTCGTATATTTGAGATACTCCCACAGACGTTAGTCCATCTGCATATATCTGATGCGCGCTGCGTACCGAATTATGCATTGCCTACTTTAGCAGGATCATGTCCACAGCTTAAATCACTCAAAATCACAGATTGCCCGGCTTTAAATGACGAAATGTTGTCTTACCTTTTGGTATCCATGACTGAACTGGAGACATTGAGTTTAAACAAATGTCAGCATCTCACAGACGATGCGGTAAGTCATATTACCAATTCGAAATGCGCCTATACTTTAGTCAATCTGGACTTCTCCGATTGCTATAGTTTGACGAATGTGGCTGTGGATAGCATGACGGCGGTAGCAATAACATCGTTGGCAATGGCATCGTCTTCGGCCGAACAACCGTTAAAAAAGTTTGCTCGTCTTTCTCGACTATACTTCCAAAATAACCAACGCATTACCATAGACAGCATACTCCATTTGGTTCGAGCGCTTCCCAATCTAGAGGTTCTCGATATTTCCGGATGCGGCGACGGGATAACCACATTCGCTGAAGCCAACGCTCAAGGCAACGTAATTTTCATGCCTGGTGAATGGCCGCGAGAAAATTTGAACGAGATTGATCGACTGGTGGATGAGTATCATGATATTGATTTATATCAACCTAGGCGTAGAACGTGGTTCTGTCGTGTGAGCGGAGAACGACTGGACAGATTGAGAAAGATGCCAATTGGAGTGCCGATTGAAATGGACGGAGAGCAAATAGATGGAATCGCATAATGTATAGGACTTGGAAGACTCAAATCGAAGTTTAAAAAGAGCGACTGTTTTTGGAGACTAAGTTCACTGTTAATTTGTATAGGATTAAATAAAAGGACATATTAAGTATTTTCCTACTATAATAAATTGAATCAAATAACTTTAATAGGTTATAAATTATTAACGCAATCAAATCGATTTCCTAGCAACTATTCAAAATAGTGATAAGTATTTTTTTTGTCCACGATGCTTAGAAATATCGTATTTCTTTTTAACTTTTGCACCCATTCATACGCTAAAAATAGTAATCATGTCGAAATTTGTTTAGGACACTAGATAGCATTCTTTGAAACTTCAAAACAATATTTAATTCAACTTTTTGTGAACTCACTTTTTTTATGGTAATAGCATAACTGTATTTAATGTTAAAATGAACTTGCAGAACGTGAGCATTAAGCAACTAATAAACAGTCTACCTCAAAAGCCCGCGACTTGAAAGAAGACATGTTTATACTCACCGCTGATGCAAGCACAAATTGCTGTCATCCGTGTTGGTTGCTCTTAATCCGTGAGTTTAAGATGAAGACTGTTGGCTGCCAGGTCATAACTTGGACATTTATAACTTGGCTAGACCAGCTCGTATGCTTTCTTTTTCCTCCAACATTTGGTTATTTCAGAATATTAATATAAAATTGACAGAAACGTCCGTGTTTTTACTTCCGCTCGCCTGTCTTTTGGTATAGAACCGACTAACTGAGAAGATGTTTCAACTGAAAACGAAGCCCACTTCCAGGGTTTGTAATTGAACAAGATACTTAATTTCTTAAGTCTGGTCTATATAAAGTAAGTGTGTATTGTAGCCATCCTAAGCATCAGTGCAATATTTTTATAGTTTGAAAGTCGATTATAAAGCTTGACGTTGAGTTTATTTATTTGAATTCGGGGCTTTTATTTATGCCGAACAAAGTTGAATTTTCAAAGTACTTAATATTTATCAAGTTGCAAACAAGATCTTTATTCGTGGACGCATATTCCGGATAACTAATCACGTAAAAAGTATTAATATACAACATTGAGAAAAATTATAACGGTAAAAAATAATTGCCTCGTACTAGTACCAATTTTCATATTTTGAATGCGTACGCTCAGAAAGAGATCATTTTTTTACAGTATTCGATATTCTGATAGACAAGCTATAATAAGTAAAACGTCTTATCATTAGAGCGTTAGGTTCGAGTCGCGCTTTCGGAGCGGTGTTACAAGCTCTGGGAAAGTACGCAGTTTGTATTTGTTTTATAAACTTCTCATTAAAAAAGGGCGATCATCAATTGGGAACAGTTTCGTAAATTTTCGGCGTCGCTCTCTGAATTAGTACGATTCTATCGATATTAATATGTGGGCGATTAATTATTTGCATTTTATATAGTGATACGTTACCAAAATACGCGCATTATTAATATTAATCGCATTGTAATATGATTAACAGATGTGAAACAGAACCTGGTCTATAGGTCGCGTTCTCCGTTTTATTGCTACTTTCAGAAATTTGGTTTAGCATAAAGACCGAACGTTTAAATTCACCGTTGTTTAATATCGATACGTTGGTTATCCTATTGGCTGGTAGTATTTTGTTTTTGATACATGGTTGCTATTGTTTAGATGGGACAGCAACGCGAGCATGGTAAATGAAGCTCAATAGCTAAGCAGGGCGCTACAAACTCGACCGATTTTCTTTTTGTAGGAAATCGAGGTCAAGCATGAAGCCAAAAACATCGCGTCAATGCACGCGAGCCGGTAAACCATGTCACGAGCACCAACTTAGTGAGTATTACTTATTATCAGTAAGCAAAAAAAAATTGCATAAGAGCCGACAGTGAATGACAGAAATAAACGTGATTAACAAACGAGTTAAAAACAGAAGTGCATTTAATATTAATAGAGCAATAGCTCAATCTTTGTTTCACTGCTGTTTGATAGAATTCAAATTTGCCAGACCCGATTTAACGATTTATAAAAGATTCAATATAAGAAAATTATCAGTCACTTGTTTTGCAAGGGGAATTCCAAAGTTAATTTTATTAATATATATTATGTGGAGCTCTATATCTTCAAACTTTAGCTCAGAACATGTGATTGGGTAACACGTAATGGATTTCCAAAAGCCCTTGAAAATTCAAATGTCCTTAATTTCTTATGCACACGTTTTAATTTATCATTCTCTTGTTAATTAAGGGTTGACAGTCACAAGTCTCAAAATCGAATGTCTTTCTAAGTGTATTATATATCACTGCTCTCATTTAAGAACACCATTAGTCGAATAATTTATAATCAAGAATGTTAGCCAGAAGTTGGCCGGAATAGAAACACCCCTGAAATTCATTAGCGTTTGACCCCTGTATCATCGCTCAAGTAACACAAATAAGGCTTACCATATGTCAATCATATGCACTCCCAACTGACATGCGTGCGACACCTGCGAATCATTGAATTCCAAGTATTTGCACTTTTTCCAAACTGCAAAAACTTGAACTTAAGCCAGAATCACATCTCTAGATCTTCGTTATTTTACGCAACCAGGCAAACGATAAATATAGTCAGATAACAAACCATTGATTCTTTAGAATGTTCATTATCCACTGGTTTTTTGATGTCTTGGCCTCTTTAGGTATGTTAGCAAGCGAGAAACACACGCACGGGTAATCCTACATTGAATAATAACAAATGTATTGAATTCCTGTGATGCAATACCATAGGTCTTGTGAACAAGAATGCAAAGATCCTATTTTTAGGATTAGATAATGCAGGCAAGACGACTTTGTTGCACATGTTAAAGAACGACCGTCTGGCTACTTTGCAACCGACACTACATCCTAGTGAGTAAATTGTCAATTTATTATAGTTACGCGTGATTTGGTAAGAGTATGTGTAATATTGAATTCGTGGGTAGGAGACAAAGTGAAAGTCATCAAATAGACGTCGCACCATAGCGCTATATGTCTTGATTATAATAGCCGACAAGCGAGATTGGTTGAAAGAAGGGATTTTCATATGACTTATCGATCGTCTCTCTCAATTACAGCATCGGAAGAACTCTCTATAGGAAACGTACGTTTTACAACCTTTGATCTCGGTGGACATCAACAAGGTAATGCAGAGAGCTGCAGACGAATCGATCGATTCAAATCGCCGAAATGTCAAGCCTTTAAATCACACTTTGCTGCGGCCTCCATTCTAACACTTGTCGATTACTTTACGTTATATTCATTTAGCTCGTCGTCTCTGGAAAGATTACTTTCCTGAAGTATCAGGGATTGTTTTTATGGTGGATACTCAAGATCACGAACGTTTTATAGAGGCCAAAACCGAATTGGATGCATTACTTTCCATTGAACAGCTGTCAGACGTTCCGTTTTTGATTTTGGGTAACAAAATTGACGCACCTGGAGCTGTATCCGAGGAAGAGTTAAGGCAGGCCTTAGGCTTATATCATACTACTGGACAGGTAAGACATTATGTCGGTTGGGAGACGCATCAAATCCGATATTATGATATCTTTAATATTAATTCGATATTTAGGGTAAAGTGCCCCTAAAAGACATTCGTCCGATTGAGGTGTTTATGTGCTCAGTGGTCATGAGACAAGGTTATGGGGAAGGTGAGACCCACGTTATCTACAGTAATATGTTATTTCTTATTTTGAATCAAACGCTAAAGTTTATCATCAATGCAGGTTTTCGTTGGTTGTCACAGTATATGTAATAACGATTCCATTAATACCAAAGTTTACCAGATTAATTCTTTATTCCGGATAAAATCATAGCAAAAAAGCAACAAAGGTTATGTGTGAAAGAAACCGAAGCGTTAGTATACAAAAATACAGGGTTTAAAGTTGATGTAATGAGTGAAAGCAAAAATAAATGAAAAAAAAAAATTGGAAAGATAAAAGTCTATATCCGGTGTGGTAGTTGTGAATCATAATCAGTAATATTTGGCAACCCTATCTTTGAATAAATGCATTTTACGACTACACCCAGTATAACTAATGTAATTATAGCAGGTTAAGCTTGTAAATCAAGCTTTGGAATAATTTAATAAAGCCGTTATTTAGTATGGTCTATTGGGTCCTTTATATGACGATTAGTTTTTATCGAAATGGCTAGTTAGTGTTGGTTCGAGAGATCGGTATATAAAATTGTTACACATGTAGGAAACTGTGTAACCACATAATTCGTGCAATAATGATATTTTATTTCGCGTTGACCTTGTTTCATACGATTTATCTTCTCTTTTTCTAATCACGTAGTAATCGCCGCATTAGTAATAGATTATTTCTACTGACTTCTATATTATCATCACGTTTTTGTTCCAAAACATCAGCGTCGTCTGAACTGTAGAATAGCTTCTTTGTATGAAATGCTTTTTGATACTCTTCTTCATCATTAGCGCTATTTGACGCTTCATCATCACTTGATATATGCAGCACTTATTTGACCTATCGATATTTAGGGTTTCAGCTAAAATTGTATGCCAGGCTTGTAATAGTAATGAACACTATTGCTAATTGTCGAGGCAATAGTCACGGGAGAGCGGATAACTACTGTCTTGGTTTGGGTTCTAGCTGCGCCGTCGTAGGAGTGTGGCTCACCTCAGCGATAGCTAAATCGTAACAAACAGTTAGTGACCTTTAAATTAGACTTTTCAGTGCTGACGTATCCCCGTACGTGTGGCACACACTAATCCTAGATAAATAATTACTCTCGAGAAACGAAACTACTCTCTACCGGTGGATTAATTCGGTAGTCTGTAGGTTGGGGCCTTAATACAAAATAAAGTACTAAAATAACTAAAATAACGCGCGTTGAGAAATAATAATTATTATCCTAATTGCCACTCGATCGACCGCGAGACAAGTATTACGACTGATCTTGCCGTTATACGGATTAATGCAACGGAATATTCAGGGAAAGAATTATCGTTTCAGAGTAAATGAATACTCGTTTATTAATAAGAAATAAAGGAAATCGAACGTCTTCGATATGAAATATCGTAGCGAACACTAAATGGAATTTTTAGAACACTGAGAACACTCAGAACACACCGATGCTAAACGACTTCTAAGCTGCTTATATACTTTATCGTCTACTAATTGATCTATTTTTAGCATCGTTCTAATTTCTAATTGCTAATCTACCATCACTATTGTTACTAACCGTTGCTGCGCAAATAGCAGTTCTGCCCGTACGACGATTGCAAATATTTGCTCCCGTATCACCGTTCGGCACTTGTCTTACATTCTAACCATCTGTGTACCGTTGTTGGTGACACCTATCGTTCCGCAGCAAATTCAGAGAGGAATACGTCATCTTCGGCTCTTGATCCTCACATAATACCATTGGAAACAGAACAGTGATTTATGGTTCAAGCACAGACCTTCAAAAATGAACACTGAATAACAGTCCTAGTGATGTCAGACAAACGAGTAGTATTTAAGAAAGGAGAAGCTATAGCCCGCCTAATTACTTTACTTGGAGTGATGAAGCACACCAGTAAGGTATTGATAGGCCCAGAAGATTGAAACTACTCCAGCGCCCTATTACTACACCCAGAATAGCACCTGAACAGAAAGAGAAATTGGATCAGTTGCTGAAAGAATACGAGTTAAGGTCAGATAATGGCAGTCATGGAAGCCCAAAGCAAATTATGGCTGACCAAGGAGCTGCATTTGTTGGCATTGTTAATTGTGTGACACTGCCATTATTGGGTCAGTTACCCATTGTGGTGACACCAGTGCTTAAAAAACCATGCAAGAGGGGAAGATGCTAATAATAATGAGTTAAATTAGATTAAAAATTTGATTCTAATAGATCTTGTTTAATTGGTACATAATTGCAATTAGAAAGAATGGTAATTTCTAATTTCTCATAAAAATTAGGAACAATTACAATATTGAAAATTCCTCTGAAAAAAAACATAAACATAAACATGCCATATTACAAACCCTAATTATAATAAGTTGCAAAATTTCAATGCAATCTGATGTCTCCAGCGAAAGTTTCAGACACTCAACATTTAATTTTAGGATAGTGCATAGTAATAGGCATTATTATTATAACATTATTATTATAAATATAATCTATAAATTTCTATCTTCATACATTTCTAAGCAATTTACCTGATTTTTTTTTTCTTTTGTTTGTTCAAACAATTCTTAGACACATGATATTTAGCATTTCATTGCAATTCTGAATCACAACATGTGTAATCTCTAACAGTAGTTGAGACAAATATAAGAAAAAAAGTTTGCAAGGATTGCAGAGAAATGAATTTTTAAAAATTATGTTTAAATCGAAATTTTTCCAATTGTTTTAGTGTGACAGGAAAATTGAATACTACTCAACAACTCACATGTCAACTCACACCAACTTTTTTTTCACTTGTTCCTTAGAAGCTCAAGCTTCAAATCCTTGTCTTTACATTTTAGTGAGACCAGCACTTGTCAAGATAAAAATCCATGATCAGAACTTTTCAACCACTCCACGTAATAAAGAGAAGCGTTTGCAAGATTTTTACCCATTTAAACCTATCTTATACCTGTCACAGTCTCCAATATTGGGTTTGGGCAGTTGCTATAGTAATGGTTTACAATTTATTGTAGATAATAGTAGTGATAAGTATTGATTCTCAGAAAGAAAGTATTTAAACGGCACCAGCACCACCCCAAATGACTGACATATTTAATCTACCAATCCCCCAAATCGTAACATGACATCTAATACACTCATCTTTTCTTTTTCCCTTTTACTCTGGTCACGGAAAAGTTGCTCGAAACGCGACTACAGGTAAAAAAGCACAGCAAACAGCAAGAGGCAAGCACGATGGACAGCCGGACACCAGCCAGCAAGCGCAATGGATGACTCCAAGACCAGAAAGCATGCCAGACGGCAAACAAGCACGCCAGATACAGGCAATCTCTAGAAAGCGTGCTGGAAACGAGTGACCTCTAGAAGGAACACCGGATGACTGTTGACAACGCCACCCTTCCTTTGTTGTACTCAACGAACAATATTAGAAATCTAAAACACAAGAAAAAGAATAAAGGCATGCAAGCAGTTGAACGATGTGCTAAAAATAAATATATATTAATGTAAGGTTATATTAGGTCAGCGTTCGAGGTCAGGGTTGAAGACCAATTAAATTGCGTAGGTGTATATTAAGCTTATGCTTCTGCTGAATTTGTAACGATGATACTGTTGTTGATAATAAACAGACAAGAATAAGGGGCTAGTGTAAAAAGTTATGTATTTATCGACGTTTATTCTACATGCTTGTATCGCTACAAAAATTATCTTGTAATTTTTGAATTGATATACGCAGGAGAGCCGCTCGTATACTGAATGATTTTTTTGTCCAGCGAGGCCTTCGACTGTCTTATTCTCACTAAACCTGTTAATGACTCACAATGTAAGATTGGGAGACTGCCTCTAGTCCTAGATATTGTTTACTCTTTCGATTAGAATGCCTACAGTCAGGGATAATTTTACGCTAACGCGTTATTAAATAGACCCTGCCAAGATTCAATGCAAATTCGACTTCGTATATCGAAAAAGTTTTACACTTTTTACCAGCGATAAACCAAAATAAAATTATAATTACAAACACGGAATTTTATTAAAATATAGGAAACGATTTTAAGTACAAAAAATGAAGTATTTTTATGTATAACGAAAGTCGAATTTGTTTAATGTGGGTCCGGAAAAGACGTGTATTTGCGCAGACGAATTCACGTTCCATAGAAGTGAATAATATGATTTAGTGATATGGGCACAAATGACAAAGTGTTTTCTAGTGTGGCCTAATAACTTATGACTTTTCCAATTGATCGGATGTGACCTTTTTGTCATTGCTTTCTGAGCTACTTCTCAAGACCAATGTCCTTTACTAATATAAACATAAACATAAGCTCATATCCTTAAGCTGAGGGCAGAAAGTCTCCTTCATGACTTTGTATGTTAGTACGGGTTGAGACATTTGGGCTAATATCAGGTTGCTTTCTGTATGCCTTCAATATTGAATTATTGACCTTGTAATGAATATTATGCTAATATTTGTACATGTGCCAAATTTCGATGAACCTATGGAAGCGCGATTGGACAGCAGAGCTTTATCAATAAACATGATATAGCTGATTTGAGAACATAACTCAATATCAAGGACATCAAGCATCCAGTGGAGATGATACCGACATGTTTTTATATGTTCGTAAATACATCTGATCGATCTGACATTTTAACATCGTCGGGGTTTATTGCACCTTATTTTCAAAGCCTTTGACTATTCCTGTCCCGAATTAGAAAGGCTAGGGTACTTTTGCACGTTATTATAAAATAAACTGGATACACATATAGTAATTGATGTCATTAATGCCATCAACAAAGACGAATACAATTAGCAGTAAAGCACAATGGCTAATTATAATGAATTTCTGGAAAGACGCCTCGGGGTTGTTGCTACTAGGCCCCTTATCAGGTCAAGGAACCCTTTCCCAAAATCGACCATAGAAGTTCCACCAAATAGAATCGTCCCACGCGCCATAAGATTACTGTGCGATGCTGTTGATCGTAAAAGTACTTTCCTGGTGCGGGCATGTGCGAGTTGATTTCGTTGTCGTATCACGTGATATTGTATCAACAAGTGATTTTTGGAACAGAGAAGAAGTTATAAAAGTACTGTTGCTGCTATGAATAGATCTGTTTTCCCGTTTTATGTCATAAAAGGATAACGAGCATATAAAAGTCTTAGTAGTAAAACGACAACAATCCGTACGGTTTCACCGTCTTAGATATCGAAAAGAGTATTGGCATATTTTTTGCTGGGATGGTATTGATAAAAATTATGTCGATTATTTTGTAGGAAACTCTTATTGTATAGTGGTTTGCAAATAGACTTGACACTGAAAACAAATACAATTATAAATAATGGTTACCTTTCATTGAACGTGTTTGTAAAATAAATTTAGTTTTTACTCGTGTACTTTCTTTTTAATAATTATTGTCCGGTTTATAAGCGAAAACTTTAGAAATTTCGTCTTCATAGAATCAATAACGTGGTTAACTCAAAATCTGAAACCAACGACAAATTATTTTGCTTGGCAAATCAGCCAAAGAAATACATGAAAAGGTTCTGCGTACAATAAAGAAGATATTTATAAGCTCAAAGAATGTAACTCTGTTGAGCGTAAGAAGGATAGTGGGTGTCCATAAACTACTTGTCACGTTCCAATAGCAATCTGTTCGTATAATAATGCCATCTTGACTCGTCAACTTGCATAAATTGTTCGGAGACCATGCAGCTATAGAATTTTGTACCCACTTGGAACTCCGCTCGTCATATGTAAGCGAGAATGATATGGGTACACACTCACATGAATGATGGTTGGCACATACAATCTTTAGAAATAAAACAGCCTTGATCTGTTTCATAATAAAATTTGTTGGTAAACCATTGAGATCAGACAATTGCATGCATTTAGAGAAATGGTTATTTTGCGTAATGCAACGAAATTAATAATAATATTGGATAAGTATATCAATTTATTATTTAGTCAATTAAAAATATCTGATTTATGGTTGTTCGTCTACTTTGCTTAACAGTCTTATTTGTTCATCTATGTCTTCTTGCCGTAACAGTATAAGCTTACATCTTCTAAGCTTTCAATGGATACTGGCACTAATAATCATAACTTCAGTACCGTCATCCATTTCTTCGACGCTACACGTTGTCCAAATCTCGTTATGTTCCGTAATCGTTATAATACATGATTTTTTGTTACCAGCATTTCTGTCGTAATATTAACATAGTCACTTGATTTGAAAATCACTAGCTCCATTGTATTGTCTGCCATCCACGATGATCTTTTAGTTTTCATCCATTTTAAATAACTGTACTAACTGTGTTTAACGTAGAAGCATTATTTAAATGGCATCAACGAACCAAAACGTTAGCGTCACTGTCGTCACTGTCGTCCCAAAACTGACACTTTTTACTTCGTATATAACAGCCGAATCTGCAAGCACAAGATTAAATATTGAATGCATGATTGTCGGAATCATAGAAATAAATGAGCGTTCCGGTGCAACCAAAACGGTAAGACCAATCATCTGTGATGCGTAACAGTCGGCCGATTTTCTTTTCTCAAGCATTTCAATCTCAAGCTGTAGGGATCACGTTAAATATCAGTACTTATATCATCTGACAATGATTGGAAAGATATCGCTGGATGGTGACTTGATGAATTGTCATTAATTCAAAGCATTTCTATTAAAACTTCTGGCCATATACGGTAACAATCGTGAAAATTAAACATGTCAAGGTTTGGCTTGATATATATGTTTGTATGATTGCACTTATTGACAAATGGGTTGACTTGGAATGCATTTGTCTAGTAATCCACTAGACAGCTGTATGGAAATTACCGATGAAGACATTGTTTGCGCATGATCGATACCAGCAACAAAGAACCACGCATTTAATTTGCTGATCAATCAGCAGCGGGGGGACGCACTTGCGATATTATTAGTAAACATGAAACGTTTTATTTGGGAAGATTTTGTTACTTGGATGAAGCGAATTTACTCCTCATCGATACCAGACAAATGTCGACGTATCCTATATACTGACAAGATTCATAAAAAAATGAGGTAAGCAATCTTTGATTTTATTCAAATTGTTCTTGAATTCGTTCCGCTGAAAACAATATCAAAATATGTATTATTAACATTAATTAAACCGCTCAGATCCCCTAATTTATCAGATAAGATTTCCTAGTGTGTAACAACTGTTTCATCTGAACCTTGATCAACAGGATCTGCCAATTGTCGATTATTGTGCACGAGTACAATAACGGGTGAACAATGACTGCGTATTTTTTATTGGGAAATCAACGTTATTTTAAATTCTCACCAGAGTTTTCTATATAACGATGGGAACGGGGCATGCTGTCCCCATTCCGGCGTGGCTGAATAAGCAATTTCCAAATATAAAAATCGCAGATTTCACTGCCATTGCTCGAGCGGTAGAAATCAATTGTTGCAGCGCAACAAGCATTATAGAAAAAGAAAGCACCTACCCCCTTTATATCTAACAGCTCTCAATCCTTTCTGATAGAATGCATTACTCCAACCTTATTATCCCAGCGATATATATTTTACTTAGCCTCGCTTTCTCGTCCGCGGCTCAGACAGTAGTCTCGGCTAAACCTTTCATAACTGCAGCAAACTCAAAATTCGGAGGTGGAATAGAAGGCACTGCTGTTGATCAAGCAGGAAACGTGTTCGCTGTCGACTTTGGTAAAAAGATCGAGGCAATTGGTCAACTATCGCTCACGCAAAAACTATTCTTTGCCGAGGCAAACAATAAAACGTTCTTTAACGCCGTGAGATTTGTGCCTGTACCCAATGGTAAAAACATCAAAAGCGCCGCATTGGCTGGCGACGTGTTGGGCCATAGAGTTTTGAAGCTAGTGGTTAGAGTAAATAAGAAGACCAAAAAGACAAAAGTGTCTTCAAGCGTGTTCTGCGAGAATAAACAATTTCTACAGCCAAACGACCTTGCTATTGCTGCTAAATCAGGATTCGTATATTTGTCGGGTCAGAACTTTACAACAGACACGAAAATAGGTGATGGCGATCTATGGTTATGTACTGCGAACGGAAAAACAACTCGATTGGGCCAATTCGGCAGAACAAATGGCATTGAAGTGTCCCCCGACGAACGCACTCTTTATCTTTCAGAAGCATTCAATGTGAACGGGACTGTAGTATCAAACAAGATCCTTAAATTCGACATCGATCGTGCCACAGGTCATGTTAGGAATAAGCAAATTTTCGCTGATTTTAAGAAAATTGATGGTACTCAAGCGATTGATATTGACGGAATGAGAACTGATAAGGATGGAAACCTGTTTGTTACTCGTAACGGTGGTGGCCAGGTCGTCAAGTTCTCGCCGACGGGGAAGGTGCTCTTAAAAATAAAACTATCGAATAAGAGTGTATCTAACTTGGAATTTGGGGGAAAAGATGGAAAGACCTTGTTCATGGTTGGGGCGTGCGATGCAGATGCAACAAAAGGTTGTGTAGACACTTTCCGTAACAACCCAGTTGAAGGACGCGCATTTGCGTTGCTCAACAAACAATTGTGAACATGTTGAGCATGTTCGCATCGCGTAAGGATATTGGTATCTGTTTTAATGTATATTTAATATTCTATACAGTTTATTACTTAGGGGGGGGGGGCGGTTCTTTTTATATACTTTCTATAATTAAATAGATTCTAATGAAACATAAAAGTTAACCAACCACAGAGGAATATGCAATAGTTATTTACAAATATACCACACATTCCTCGCTTTATTAAAAGCAATATTAAGAACGAGACATTACATGTACATCATATGATCTGTTGTTGCTGTTACCGCTTCATCGATGTCAGCCTCATCAGTAATCCCGTCAATGTCGATGTCAATGTCAATCATGAGTTTGCCAAGAGTATCTGCTAACGCCTTCATGATTTTGACCTTAAAAGAGCCGGCATTATTAAGCACGTAGCAGTCGAAAGGGGGAATGTGTGAGATTGACTAAAAACATACACACGCGTACACTTGATAAAACCATCATACCTCGTGCAAGAATCTGCCTCTACCTGAAACGCGTTTACCAGGAAATAAAAGACATGTTGTTGGAATGCCTTCTACTTTCAATAATGTTATCAAGACGTTTAGTATATGCGAACGTATCACTGGATTTATTTCAGCGTCTAGTGAACATGAACAACGAATGTTAGCTCGTATAACAAGATCAAAATACTCGTTGGCATGATAAAAACTCTTTACCATTTACGTTTATGCTATAGACTTTTTCATCGATAAGATTGGTATTAACATTCGCGAGTATTGTTATCTCTTGTATTTTACTCGCAGACAAGAGTGATATTAAAGACGATATGAGTGTGGTAGTCTTGGTCTGGCTATCCAAAGATGGGACGTATACCACAGAGGTCTTTGCGCACCAAGGAATCGTCACAGAACAACAATTAGACCGTCACTCGCGCACTCAACGTGCAGAGTTAATGAAATTACGACTACATACATCGCCAGCATTACGAACTCGTACTTTTCCGTTTGCTACCTCGAGCTCACTATCGTTCGCTGTTCGTATTCTGTCTAATAGTTTGCAGCCAACGTTGTTCAGATCGGGAAACCCAAGGATTATACGAGGTTGCAATATTGCCATGGTAAGCGTAACGTCAAAAATCGAGAGTGGGGAGATTTTCCAATCTAACGGCACGGTATGTTAATGTTACACATTGAATTCATAGCGATATTAATCATTATTTGTAGCAATCTCGGTGAGTTTTACGCACATAAAACAATAACGATATTAATCCGAATTTAAACTTGGACAGTCCGCCGTTTTTTCAATCTTTAGAACGGTTTTTAATAAACGGTAATACGTTCAAACATAACCATACTCGGGATTACACTATTGTAAACATAAACTTGTTACAGGGAGCAGAATTGTTCGTCCAAATAAAGTAATGCATAATCTATTGTTTATAATACGTTGTTACTATATTCATTTTTGATAAACTGGCATTTCACTTCGAGTAACTTGCAACTTTTGTAAGTAAAAAAGGTGTAAAAAGGCTATAATATTTAACAAGCATTTCGTTACTTGTTCAATAGTTAGTGCGATTAAAACCTAACTATAGTAACAGAAAGCGAATAGTACATATATAAAGTTATTGAGACATGAAAGTTTCTCCAGTTTCCGAAAAAACATTCCCAACTGGGTGGCAAATACATGTGCCACACATTAGAATGAACAATTGCGTCACTATTTCGTATTTTTCCCAAATGTCACATGCCTTTCGAGTCTCCCGCTTTCAAGATGGCAACAGGCCGAGGAACTGATAAAATTCTCGAGAAACTTCGAACATCGGTGAACAATGGAAACTACTATGAAGCTCACCAGATGTACCGGACCGTTTGTAGAAGGTACATTTCCGAAAATGCAGAGACTGATAAGTCAAGAACATATTTAGCATATATTCGAGAATAGTAGAATTCGAGACATTGATAGTTTAAGTTGATTTCTATAGATATATTAAACAGAAGAAATACGACAGCGCCATTGATCTGTTATATTCTGGAGCGCAGCTTCTGCTTGAGCATAAGCAAATTGGTAGTGGAACTGATCTTTCGCTTTACTTGGTTGACGCGTATAAGGAAGCTGAAATTCCTGTAACAGAGGAATCAAGAGGTGCGGTTTTAACGTTATGTTTCAGTCCAATGTCAACTATTTTGCAATCTAATGTATATCCTTGTATTTTATATGTCATTCTCGTTGAAAAGCACGTATAACCAATCTTCTAAGTCTTTTACCCAATGAGCCTGGCCGTAGACGATTCATGGATGCTGCTGTCCAGTAGGCATTAGATGTATTACATAGTTGGGTTAGACGATAGAGATCGGTATCTTTTTTGCATTGAACTCCAACCAACATTTCTGATGTGAATAATCCACTGCTTGTGATTAGATGGTCCGCCAAGTTCAGTGATAGTGTTGTCGGTGATCCAGAACTGCATCATTTCATTGGGGAGATGTTGTGGAAAGGTGAAACGAAGAATGAGATTACATAATATTTTATCGGCAAATGTATGCTAAAACGCGCTACATTCTTGTTACGTCCTTGTACAGAGAAGGCTTACCCGGAAGCAGAGCCTCATTTCCTTGCTGGATTACCAGCAAGTAGTCGGTCTTACGGGAAAATGCTTGCTGAGTGGGCTTCTCAAGATCATCCGAGCAAAATCGGAACTTACATTTCACGGGCAGTGTTACAGTATGTGTATATCTATTATTCTCTGCATGATTTTTCTTTTTTCGTCCGACCGTATCACGCATATATCACCCGATGTTTAGATACCTGTGCTTGCGCAATATTCGCGATGCGAGGACCTCGTTTGATGCTTTTATCGAAGCCATGGCAGAAAAAGACTCGAGCATAAAATCCGGCACGGCTCCATATCGTCCCACGCTTGCAAGCGATCCTGTCCAAATATCACTTTACACTATACCGTTACTCAACTTTTTACAACTTTTAATTCTCACTGTCCAACGTGATGCACGGGATCTGTTTATCAAATTACGAACAAAGTACAGTTCAAGCTTGGCCGTTGAACCATCTTTTGATGACGTAAGTTAAATTCAAAACTTCCTCGCGTAATGTCATCGTGTGCAAAGTGTCTGTCCTGACTTTTTTTTTTTCATTGTTTACAGTTACTTAATAAAATTGGTGAAGTTTTCTTTGATATAAAGCCGCAGAAACCGCAGCAATACAACCTATTCCAGGACCTAATGAATTCTTTCTTATCTCCCCCTGGGAGTTCTTCTGAATCACCGGCAAGCGCAAGGATGTCGATGTCGAGCGACCTTGAGTAGTATACTGCATAAATTAGTTTATATTTATTTGAGAAAGACTTTTATCGGTATTGGAGAAATTAGTAATTAATTTTTGGAGAATGCGTTTTCAAGGCGATTTGAAAATAGTTAATAAGAGACAGTACTTGCATATATATTTAAAATTCTTCAATTGCTACCGTCATTGATGAAAAACGATGTAGACCCCAATGCAAAAGAGAAATTTTGACAATCTCCGCTCGGCATCCCATTACTAGAATCATAACAAAAATCGCTTTCAACTTTGTTATTGAAATAGAACTAGCTTGGATCTTATTAATAAAAGCATCACGTGGTAAATTTCGATGCTGCTTTTCGTCATAAGATCAAGATACTGTATTCGAGGAAATGTAAGACTAGTGAATAATTTTGTCCTTATATACACTCTGACAAACGTGATAATAATAAAAGAATCGCAATTCGCGTATTTACTTGGGTTTTTCGGCATACACAGTGAAAGTCTGCAAAACAATGCAAAAAGCTGATACCAAAATTGAATTTGATGACTTTGTTGATCAAAAGGGCTTAATATTTTTGACCGAGTTAGGCAAAAACCGACTTATCGAGTCTGCCTATGTAATAAAATGGCGCGTAAATTTTTTATTTCTTCGTTTGCTGTTTCTTTTACAATCAATCTCTTTATTTCTGAATTATGTATAGAAGCCACTAAAAAGTTACGCTTCTTCTGCCGTTGCTGGCATAGTTTCTCCTATAATCGTGCCTTTACTGATAAGAATTGTCCGATGACTTATAGATTCCAATGGAGACCACGTATGATTCGTCTGTTACTTCACGCCAAATACGCATTGATTTTTAGTCATATCAGCCTCTTATTTACGTCACATAATAAATGTTCACTTTGTCTGGTTTTTGTTGCAGCATGACACATTTTTTACTGAAACTGGTTTCGGCGAATTATTGAGTATTTGCCCCAAATGTCAGCCATGTGTAGCATCTTCGGAATCAGTGAAATTTATTACAGATTGAAACAAAAACTCGACGAATAATATACTAATACATACAGAGAAGAAGGGTGAAAAGGGATTAAATACAAAAAAAATGGCTTTCCTATCATGCATTTACAAATACGATAGCTTCTCCTTGGCACAATTACCAACAGTTTGGGATCTTGTCCCAGATTCTTTATATCCAACACCTACCATGGTGCACCTACTCTCAACCCTTCAAGCAACGGCGAATTCGGGTCATCTCTGTAAGCATATGGCGGCGGGGACCTGCTAACTAGTCCCTGAGCCATAACACCAGCTACTTCAACTCCACTACCAACTCTGACATCCACGTTGTTCGATGATAATGCTCCAAACGATTTCATTCTGCGGAGCGATGGATATTTTGGAGGAGATGAATATGGAAGCGTCGCTGAATGATTTAATGTTATTGTAGCAGAGCTTTCGGTCGAACCGCTCATGGAAGACGAAGTTGAGAACGAAGCCGTTTCGATTACATCTCTGATGAGTTCTTTCGGTTCGTCAACATCTTCGAATACGAGATCAAAATGTTCGATGCAAATGCGAACAAATAAACCAACACCTCCGCCGACTCTTTCGTCATCGGGTGATATAGTACACATGCTGACGTCGAGTGTCGGAGACCCGCTATGTACTAAATTGGGCGCAAGCATGACTGCTAGATTGTACGATGTCATTTTATTCTCTTCTCGATGCTCTGCAATGTCGCGTAATAATGAAAACACATGTCGGAGGAGGATTATTGCCGCAGGAGAGAGTAAAGAGAAGACTTTATTTCGGATGAATTCCACTCGGTCGAGTGGTGTTGGTTTTTGCGATATCTGCCGGAGAACATCGTATAAATCGGAGGGAATTATGGGTTTAGGAAGTTGATGGAAGAACATTTTTAGTAAGACAGCTGCGGTGTGTACTCCGTAATCTTCTAATTTTATTGGGTTGCCTCTGTCATAAGCTTCTCGTGCTTGTCGTAATAACATAGAGTTTGGTGATCGTCGAAACACACCTTCTGTATAAAGACCGTTAGCTCTCAAATAAGCGACACACTCTTTCACGACTCTCGGGATTCCTTTTTCTCCTGCTGAACCCATCAGTACTTCGATTGGTACGCCAAACATCAAATGACCATGTTCATCATATGATTGCGATGATGGGAGAGCTATCTTATCCTCATATCTGATGTTGTATTCGTATACAACTGGCGGAATGTCGATCTGAGTGAGCGGCACATATCTCGCCAGTTCAGAAAGCGTACTAACATATTTAACCTTACGCAGGAATTTTGGACTGTGATGATGAATTTTTAATTGTGAGTGAAATGGATATTCGGGAATCAAGTAAACCGGGCAGTTTGAGATAAACTAGGTCCTCACCTTATGACAGCGCTCATTAAATCCAATATTAGGCGTGTCCATCTTGACGCGTGCACGACGTAAAAAGATTTGAGATTTTTCTTGTACCTTTTATAATGAAAATTAGTATAAATACATAAGGTCCATATATCAAGCCTGCTGTTCTTGAATCTTACTTTCTGCCAAGGCTGCTGTAAGCTTTAAGTATCCATGACCATCCTGGTCTATATTTCGCGCCGCCAGCAAAGAACACTACCGAATAGTCGCTTTCTACAAACAAGTCAAGACGTTGTAGGATGCGACTGATGATGAACAATGGAGTGAGTCGGAATGTTTACATATTACATGCTATTTGCAAAATTCGCAATAATTACCCCAGAATTTTATCATAATCTACGTCTTTGGGATTTGGTAGATTACAAGCACAAATGACAACCATAGGTTTACTTTCAAAATCAACACCTTCAGAAAGCAAACATAGTCTCAGTTAGCATGTTCCACAGTTGGAAACTTGGACGAGAGAATGAATGTTAAGTATAAGATAAGACATTGAGAGTAACAATGCATATTATTTCAAGAACTACCAGTATCTACGGGGGGGGGGGGCAACTGGGAGTAAACCAGGGGTGGGGCGGGAGCGGGTATCACATATAACATAGTTTTATTAATACTCTACCTGCTTGATATATGACTTTGGTGTTGACATAGTCTGCCAGAGCCTCTTCGTCAAACTGACTAGACGCAGGTGTCAACTCAGTATAGTGTTTATCGAACCAATTCTTCCACATTATGTTTGTTGCAACTGTTTGTCTGTATAGTTCTTTCTATTTAAGTGTTAACGTTTAAATAGATGCGGGGTTCAAATTAAGCTTTTATTGTTACTATTTAAATAGAGAAAGATAATTAAAGTTCGGTCACTCCGTTACAATGTTTAATTGAGAATGATAGAATAAGAATGGTGTCAAGAAATTGGTGTGGCATCTTGGTTTTATTAGTTCCACGTGATTTCATAAACCAAATAACTAATACGTTTATATTATTAATAATGTTATCCAGTTGAGAGAGCGCACAAACCACGGGAGTCGGGAACAAGTCAACGCTTAAATGTTTTCGGTGTGATTGAATGACAACCTTGTGTAAAAGACTTATTATCCTCATTGAACGATTAACTTATTAGTGGCTATCATTAATATAACAAGCTAAATGATTCACCTCTCGATCTTTTTAGAAATCAATTACGAAACGGATGATACCAGCCGTCATGGTTATTGTGAGCAATAAATTCTGATATAGTTACTACGAATTAAACTAGCAAGTCTACAACTGCGCTCTTAATCAAGACAGGAAACACAGGCGATATCTCTATCTATATATGTTTCCTTTGTAAACACAAACCAAGCTGGATAACAAGCTAAATAAAGAACGCAAATATTCAACTAGACAGTAATCATATGAATGACGCCATCATCTTTTCTTTTTCCGACTCGCTTTTGCCTAGCTGTTTCTCAAAGAAATAGCCCACGTGTCAATCGTCTTCGCATCATATGTGTGCTCAATCCACATTGGAACTACAAATTCGGCCTGTACGAGAGTGTGGTATTCCGATTTCTAAATTCTGATATCAAATCCTGCATCAATGTTATTCGGAAAGATCCAACTACAAACTTTTTTACCACAGTAATCACGCGATAATTTATCACAAATGTCAAGTATGTAAAGCCTTACTTTTTTAATGATTTGAACAAATACAGTCTCTACCCCCCTATTTTAGCTACTCTGAGCAATTATCTAATGCTATTAGAACTAAAAGACCGATAGAATCCCCCACCATTGCCTCCAGATTTGGAATACAAACTTGTGTTTATAAAGACTGGGAAATAATGGGGGCTAGTTGAGCACTCGTAAATCTCCTAGATATGACCGAATTTTAAAAACGAAACTATATTATTTATAGTGCACGTTGTATATTTATATTCTAACTTCGTTGGCATGAATTTACCATTGAACTAATGCAGCAAGTCAAGTAATGAATATGGGTCCCATAAAATATTCACTGAACGGAAATCTGTCTTGAAAGAACGAAATTATATACGATGTGCTGGAAATGACTTTTTTTATTTTGCATTGTTGGAAATTATTTATTTGTTACTAAAAATTCAATACTTCAAATCTTAGTCTTAAACCCCAAATGTTAGACATCTCACATGCTTTTTAGGATAACCAAAATAAGTTCCGCAGAAAACGTTCTTGATCAAACTTGCATAGCTGAGACTTGACTCGTTATCGCTACTTTGCAGATCGACAATGAACTTCACGGACGCAAGAAATCAACGCGTCACGAGACTCATTTATTATACTTTTATAACAGCGTTAATTTTTTAATGCGGCATTGTTCACGGGGCCTCAGAATTTCTCATTAGGATTAAGTCTTCAATCATCACACAAGTTTCTTGCCTGAAGGAAATCTGTGCAGCAGAAGGAAGGAAGATTCGCATAAAAGCTAACTAATATAGAAGTGCTAACATAGACGCCGTATGTCTGATGCCGCACGCCTGAAAAGCTCATAATATCGTTAATGACGAGCTGGAACGTTTTAATGCGTAGTCAATATTTCTATCACACCCCAAAAAATATATCCATTAATGATCATATCGTCAAGTCGTTTGATATTGTTCGTAGCTTTATTCATCTATAAATCATTCAACATATCTTTGACATAGCTGTAATATTCAGGAGTCACGTATTGCTGCATCTCTTGCTTAGTTACCCAAGCAAATTCAACGATCTCCTTGTTATCGACTTGTGCCTGTCCAGCGAATATGTGGGCCTTGAGGAAGAACACCTAGCCCAGAAGTAGACGTAGTAGCAAATAAAGATGGCGAAGCGCACAAAAAATAAACTCAACAGACATACTAAACTAACCTTCGCTCCATCGTAAACATCACTCTCTCCAGCCGGAAAATCATACGCACAATATCCAATTGGTTTACGAGAGACAAACCAAACGTCCATATTCTCGCCGCATTCCTCGGCCAATTCTCGTTTAGCTGCCTAGAAACAAAATCGGATTAACATCAGATGTCATGCTGTGACTCTGTATAATCAGACAAATTTCCATCATACCTGATGCAATAACTCTCCTTCAGCAGTATTCACGCCGCCCTGAGGAAATTGCCATGCATGCTCCTTTCGCGGCTTCCGCACAATCAAATATAGCGTTCTTTGCAGTGCACGATCCAACGACGTCATATCATTTATTCGATCTGCCTCAGTCACCCTACTTGCCATAGTTATCTTCTCCTCGTCCAAATCACTGCCCGACCCCGTCTCCTCGGTGTAAGTAGTGCTGGTATTCGTCTCACTACTACTCTCAACTTTGCTTTCATTACTTTTCTTCGAATTGCTCTTCTTCTCTCCGTCTCCAGCCTTTTTAGCCAACCAATTCTTCTCAGCAATGCTCCCTTTCTTGAAATAGAACTCTACTGGAAACGGGGCTGCGCGAGCCTGTTCTAGACGCTGTTGATATTTATAGTATTCGCGTTCGAACGGGTGGAGATTGCGGGTTATTATTGGGCAACGGGAGAGGACTATTCCAACGACTACACGATATCGTTTTTTAGGTTCAGTCGCGTAGGGTGAATTTGTTATTACGAATTCTTGGGGCTGGGAAGGAAGGGCTGATAGAAGAGAACGTCGGAGTGTGCATAGGGGAAAGATGGAGATAGGAGTATATTAGGAAAGAGGATGTAGGAAGAAATGCGTGACGAGTACGAGAATGTGTCGATATGAGATGGCAATTTGTCCGATGCGCATACTTTTACGACGTCCCTTTTCATCTTAAGGACGCCTGAATCCTACCAGCAGGTTTATGGATAGACCGCGTTTGTATTCTATTATGTTTTAATTGTGAAAACGGTCCTCCAACAACAGATTCACCTAAGACCCTAGATTCAATTGCGATTGTTGAGAGAGATACCCGTGAAAGCACTAGTCGCTGTAATAACTTGGGCGTCATTTTGTTGTCATTAACATTCCAATCACCGAATTCGGTCACTAGTCAAAATTTTTTTCATTATCACTACCAAACCTTTACATCACGTGAAGATTATCGCAATCAGCTGATGTCAAATTTTGCATAACCGCGTTCCATTCCGTTAATAATAGCATCAATCTGATCCCGGCACACCCCTAAGATTATGTCTCACTGGCAAACGCTACAACTTAATTGCAGCTCAGAATAAATAAATCCATTGAAAGCGAAGCTAATCCAAAACAAAAGCATCTTCAAAAATTTGGTAACGATATAGACGCGTTTGTAAACGCGTGGGCGTACCTAAGGGTTTTTCTCAGCATCGCTTCATAATTGTGACTAATGTCATTAATTGTATTACAACTTACAACAATAATCGCAGTCTGGACGAATTTTTTCGGACCAGACTATTCCTCCTAAAAGCTCTAACCTTGTCACTTAGTCCAGTAATACTCTTCGTTTGGGTGTCGAGAGGTAATGTCGTTAAAACGGAATAGTTCCAAGTAACTCATAAAATTATAGGCTAACAATAAATCCATCAGTAATTAATATTACCAATTAACACTGGAGTTAAACTTTGTTCAGTAAATTGGCCAGCAGAATTAATTACAAACACTCTCGAATGAGAGAGTCAGCTTGCCGTTACGCGACACGAGTCATTACCTAGGTAGAATGTTATCCATACTCAATTGACAGTAACTTTATCAATGTATTAAGTAAATATCCTCGAACGGCGAACCCTTATAATTATATTCTTACAACATTAGAATTGTTTATACGATAACAGAGATAACAATATCTCATTCACATTGATAACATCAAACCTAACCTTTTTAATAAAATTATTAAATTTTCGCAACGAAGAAACACATAGTAAAACCACTACTTTCCGAGACTTGCCTGTTTTTGATACAAATACTATTGTTAACACATTTCTAACTCTTAACAAAATTTTAAGATAAAAGGTTTGTTATGTCAATTTTGGGAACAATATGCAGGGTCGAGTATGTTGAATGGACAATAAAATTGGCTAAATTTCAGTCATTGGTTGCAAAATAAGAGTAAGAAAACTGTTGTTGTTTTCAAGTCATTTTTCAGACTTTGATGCAAAGCCGCACGCTGGGAAATAGACATATTTATAGGTTGTAGAATTAATTTTCAATAAAATATAACGGCAAGGTAAATTTGATATATTTGTAGTTTCACGTTTTTCAGTTTACGATGTTTGCGTACCTCCTCCAGAATTGACTAACTAATTTTGTAAATTAATGAGAAAGCATCGTAAGTTTGTAGTAGAGAGCAAATTTTATACTAAAATTTATTATTAAGTCTACCATTTCTATTTATTAAAACAATTTATTATTTATGTACGTTGCTACAATAACTATCTTATATAATAATTGTATTTTTTTTTTCTCTTCAAAATTTGACTGTATGTGTGTAGCATTTAGTAGATTACAGCATACCAGCAAAAATTAATTATTGGTTTCACATAGTTTTTGCATAAACACTAATCTATGCTTGTCTGTTACATTATTCGCGGTAAACTTTTTAAAAATGTTTACACTCCTTTTTCCATTAACTTTGACCCATCATTTCAATTCAGCTAACATAAATTTCCATATCAGTCTTATTGAATGAGAATGTCTTTTGCATTTACATTTTATACGTTTTATTTCTATGTATTTTACTTATTAAATTCTGCTAGCATTATTAAACCGCGATGAAATTTACTTTTATGCCTTCACAGCTACTATTGAGGTGAATAAAAAAGCGCATATGCGTTATAAAATATACATATATATTAAACATTTGTCTGTGGTTAGATACATTATTACGAGTCGAAAATTATCAGCTCCTCGTTAAGAATTTTGCTGAAATTTGCGATTTTTCTTAGATTCTGGTTCTTTTTTAAGCCTACCGAAATGCCGCTCTAACTTCTCGCAGTCTCAGCTTCCTACTTGGTTCTCTCTTCCGCAACCTGTTCTAAAAACTCAGATAACAGTAAAATTTTATACAAAATGTGAATTATTCAATGTTGTGTAGTAAATGTAAAGACTCGCTTTATTGACACTAATATGAAAAGCTTCTTCACGACATCATTCATCATTCGTTTGCTCTGACTTATCCTCCAATTGCATAATAATACCTCCTTTTATTGGGGTATGTGATTCATAGTGAATATTATAGCAGAACCTTATTGGGGGTCTATCTGAACACGAAACCAAAAAGGCATGTATTTGATAGAAGTTTGGAAGCAATTCTACTCAATTAGAAACAAGCGACGTAATATTTATCGTACTCGCTTTTTGTGTTATAATCGAGATCTGGCACTTCTTGCGAAACATTAACCGCTGGCTGCAGCCGAGCTTGCAACTGGAAAAAAAAAACAAGGCAAGCAACGCATAAGGGTTACTTTTGCATAAAATAATAAATCAGATATTAATATTAATAGATAATCATCTTTGTTTATGACGCACGAGACCTTGATTTCTTAGATCTTCAGATCTATTACCCATTTGTTCAAATTGTTTGTCCGATCTCATTTCCCACTCGATAGCACAAATTGACGCCCAATCAATTTCCAATTCGTTATTATTATCCAATCACAATTAACTGAACCAGCTAATGCACATGGGGTGACTCCGGCTTTTTTTTTGGCAGTAAAAATAAATAACAGTAATTGCAAGAATGAAAGCAGAGTGCAACAGATACGATAAATTTCATAAAAATTATTATAAATTTTTTGCGTCACGAACAGATCCACCGAGATGTCTAAACACAGCTCGTTTTTTCTCGCATAATTCCACATGCCCATCATTTTTCGGAAATAAACGAAAAAACAGTCACACGATTCCCCCCCCCTTCCCTGCATAAAAATAAAATAATTTCTTTGGCCGCGGCGTATTCCTTGTTGCTGACCACTCGTCCTCAAAGTGTGGCGTTTGTTGCGCAACAAATTTGAACGCCGTCACTACGTACGCCCTCAAAGATGTATTTAAGCTTTGACAAACAATACATCATGTTTAAACAAATAGAAAATAATTGTCCGAATAGGCCCAAACATTAAGATATTTAATGTTCTCGTGACATACCGAACACTCAGTCATGAAGTTTGGCCATCACCTCAAGACCTCTCTATATCCAGAGTGGACCTTCTACTATCTAGACTACGAAGGTCTAAAGGTAGAATTAAAAAAAGGTACACGCGGAAAACAGTGGGACGAAGATGCCGAAACCAGTTTCATGGAGCTCTTGGAAAAGGAGCTCGACAAAGTCTACAATTTCCAAGCTGTTAAATCGGGAGAAATCGTTAGACGAATGGAATACTGTGAGAAGCGGATAAACGAGTTAACCGAGTCAAAGGATACAACCGAAGATGATTACGTGGCGATTGAACACGAGCTAGGATTGATTATTGCTGATGTTCACGATCTGGCTAAATTTACAAGATTGAACTACACAGGTTTCTTGAAGATAATAAAGAAACACGATGTAAGCTATTCATCATCAATCAGTTGGATTAACTACTGGCAATTTGGAAAGTTATTACGCCAAATGTGTCAAACTGTTAGATTAAGGTGGACGTAAAGAATAAAACCAAGAATAGACACTCGTACATTGCACACAGTCCCATTAACACTATGCATTTTGCTCATCGTTCCATACCATCTATAGAAACAAACGAAATGGGTTGCCAAACCAATGGTTCTAGCCCGGTTAAACCTCAAGCCCTTCTACAAGGAAAACAAGGACGCTCTGATCGTAAAAATATCTCGACTCTACGACATCGTTCGCACGCGGGGACATCCTGTAAAAGGCAACAGCGCTCAAGGCAAGACGCAACAAAACTTTGTCCGCAACACCAAAAAATACTGGGTTCACCCTGACAACATCACAGAACTAAAGCTTGTCATCCTCCAGCATCTACCTGTGTTGGTGTTTAATCCCAACAAGGAATTCGAACCAGCTGATTCGGCGATTTCTAGCATCTACTTTGACAATGAAGATTTTGAATTGTATGTTGGAAGGGTTGAGAAGAATGAAGGAGCCGAAGCCATTAGACTGCGATGGTATGGCGATATGGACAATCGGGAAATCTTTGTAGAGCGTAAGACACATCGAGAGGACTGGACTGGGGAGAAAAGTGTAAAGGCCAGGTTCCCAATTAAGGAGAAATACGTAAATAAATATTTGAGAGGAGAACATAGCATGGAGAAAGCATTGCAAAAGTCAAGGAATAAGGCCAAGAGTGAAAAAGAAATTGAGAGCCTCATTACATTGTCTAAGGAAATACAATATAGCATATTGAGCAGGAAACTCAGACCAGGTATGGAATAGACTATTTGGAATATCTAGTAACAATTTATCAATCGCTCACCAACACAGACATCCATGCACTCTTACTCACTCCCTTGCATTTCAAAACAATTGTGCAAATACAGTTCTTCGAACTTTCTACAACCGCACAGCATTCCAACTCCCTGGTGATGCTCGCGTACGAATATCACTCGACACAGAACTCACGATGATTCGTGAAGATAATTTTAAAAATGATCCCAAACTACGTTCCGGAAACAATTGGAGACGAATGGATATTGGTATAAACTATCCATTTGATAATTTACCCGAAGAGGAATTAACGAGATTCCCGTATGCAGTGCTGGAGGTCAAATTACAGACACAGTTGGGGCAGGAGCCACCTGAATGGGTTCAGGAGCTAGTGAACAGTCATCTGGTATGTATAGCGTATACCAGCACCTGACATTCGATACTTATCGGTGAACCGGACGTTAAACACTTGTCTTTTTTTTTCTATAGGTTGAGCACGTCCACAAGTTTTCCAAGTATATTCATGGTGTTGCAACGCTGATGGAAAGTCGTCGCGTTCCTCTTTTGCCATTCTGGCTTCCTCAAATGGACGCCGACATTCGCAAACCGCCCATCCCTCGTATTGGTATCACGCGTAGTGAACCAAACACACCGGCGAACGAAGCTAATAAACGTCTCGGGCACGACGACTCGCATATTGAAGTTCTCGTCGATGATATTGGTTCACGTGAATCAGAAGGTTTAACAGAGAATACTCCGCTATTGTCTAGAGCAAATGGGAGAAGTTACGGTGGGAACGGTAGTGCGTCAGCGTCTTATCAGAACGGTGGACACCCATATGAAGCCGAGGAAGGATCGTCATCTGGAATGGTCGGACACATACCGACCAAGTTCCAAGGGAAGAGGGTTTATATCCCTGTAAGAGTTGAGCCTAAAGTATATTTCGCTAACGAGCGGACATTCTTGTCTTGGTTGAATTTTACCGTTATTCTTGGAGGATTTGCTGTTGGCTTATTAAATTTTGGCGATAAAATCGGGAGAGTTGCTGCAGGGATGTTTACTCTAGTCGCAATGTCTGTGATGCTGTATGCTTTGTATATGTTTCATTGGCGAGCACAAATGATTAGAAGGAAGGAATATGGGCCATATGACGATAGGGTTGGGCCTACTTTCCTTTGTTCCGCATTGTTATTGGCAGTGCTGATTAATTTCTGGTTGAGGTTTGGCGACGAGGAATGATTAGTAAGCAATCAAGGAAAAAAAAAAAGGCAAATGCTTTGTAATCGGAAAAGATGACTACTAATTTTGTGTAGTAAGATGGAAGAGGTTCCTCAGTTATGATTTACGTCAAACTTAATAACTGTATAATGCTAGAATATTTGTATTTTTTTATGTGTGTGTCCAAATTTCATGTTTACCGAATCCGATTATCTTTCTCCAATTTCACTTTTATGATTCCCTGTAGTATTATTAATGTTGTAAAATTTCAGAGTTGAGTACCCTGGGATAGCATATCAAGAACTTTACTCGTAAACAATAAAGGAGTCAATTGTGATTGGCGACTTGCGCAAAATTGTTTCGCAATGACGTTATTGAATCAAAATCGTCTTTAGGTTGGCGTGGCATATATCTCCGTGCTTACTGAGAATTAGAGTAGTGTTAAACGCGCCGATATGTTAGTTGTGTTAACTAATATTTAAGACAAACATTTATAAATTTTGTGAGATGATGCGAAGCAGAAATGCAAGATTACTTTAATCCCAAAACCAAACACAACAGCTAACTAGTTTGATCGAGATCTCAAAGATGTAAAGTAGTGGCTCACGAATGATTTATCTAAAAAAATTTTGACATTAAATATTCTCTTTTCAACTGCATTTGTTAGCATTATAGTCACGTTCTTATTATTTGGCAAATATTTATTTTCTTTTCAAGAATAAGAATAATAGTTGAAATTAACCTCTGTCTTAACATACAAATACATTCTGTTTATAGTTCTTTTCCCTTCTGCTCTCCTTTCATACATTATTTATCAACATTGCTATTTCCAAGTTTTTTCTGTTTGTTTGAATGCTGGCCAGTTAATTTTTTATTAATATTACAGGGCTTACTTTTTAATTTTAATCAAAGATTTGTTCAAATTGTTCTCATTATCCTTGGTAAAAGGGTTACCGTTTTAATTAATAAAATAATCAGAGCATTTTTCGAGTATGCGAATTCAACCTTGTAAACAATAAATTCTATTTATTCGTGATCAAATTCTTCAACAAATGGTCAAAGATAGTTTTGTCAATACACTAACAACTTAATTTTCATTATTCTTTTCAAATTGACTAGTATTAATATTGACTGAACGACTTGGTATTAACCAGAATTAATTTTTTTACATTGCGATAATTAGTTTATATTTAAAAAATTATAGAAGAGCTTAATTAAAAAAAACTTTTACTAATTATTGTGTACCGATTTTATTTAGAAATTCGAGCTGACTAAGTTGCATTTTCTCAGTTATGAGCTGTAAAACCGTATAATCATTCTATTTAATTAAAATTTTTTTAAATTTGACTAAAATAATTATAATATTAAAATTATTCCAAGTAATTTATAATGGCTATAATGCTAACATAACGCTACTTGAATTACAACAGTGAATCGCGTTAGCTGTCCTCATATTTTATTATAACGTTTCGTGATGGTTGGTACGATTTATATTTTCTCACGTGATCACAATGAAAACGCGAATTCCCGCGCGAAACGGAAAAATACTCAACTCGTGACCCCTGAATTTGTTGAAAAGCAAACGTCGATCATTATTCTTTTTCTTTTATGTTCGATGCATATTCATTAAACAACGCGAAATGGTACGCGCAAGTCAACGTGCACTAGTTTCATTCAGGCACCATTATACATTAATTATAACCATCAATTATAGGATGGAAGGTATAACTATTGTCATTTGAGCACAACTAATGCACTTAAATTCGATCAATGGCGCACGCTCGACAAGTTGAAACCGTCTGGTTTGTACAAGTCAGTCTATTCCCTTTGTAAAAAGTATTAGTCATAACACGATAGCGTTTTTGTAGATATATCGATCCCTCGGCAGTATACAGATTCTCAGGATGAATGTAATTACAATCTTGGACTGACACATCGGCATTGAAATCGTAAATGACCTTTTTTTTTTTATCTTACTAGCGACCTTGATGCCAGCTAACCACAACAAAAATCAATCACTGACCGGGAAATGGGATGACTTTGCGACTGACTTTTTCAAACGTGAAAATTCGACAAGGATAAATGGAACGGCGAACGCGAGACGAATAAGAGAGTACAGGGATATATAAGGGTAGGAGGCATACTGCGAAGGAATTTCTATTATGATCATCGAGAATGGGAATCAAAACCAACAACTTGTTTTAGTTCCAGTCAAAATTTCTTAATTAATAAACAATCAATAACGCGTTCTCCGTTTATTAGAAAAACTGCATATTGTAACTAACTCTGATCGCAAATATAAGCGTGCTTCATGTATGGACAAGCGATATGTGGCGGCATACTTTATTTCCAGTATTATCTGTTACGATATAGTTATCACACGTTGTTGGCTTTTGACTCTAACTTGACTGCTACCACCTGACAGAATATTAATATACGCGAAAGTAAACCACATATTAATTCGTTGGAGCACAAAACTCGCATGTCATTGAGTTATTGTTAATCAGTAAGAGATTGTGTATCACATTCTAGCTGCATTTGTCAAAAAAATATATTACGTTTACTCAACTTTATAAACAAAAGGTACTTCTTGTGAAAATTGCAAATTCGGGATGCGTCAGAATTTGATTCGCCTATATAAGCGTGTGGAAATGTTATCATGTTTCGATCAAACCTTTCACCTGAAAATACGAGTGAGCTTTGCTTTGCACGGACCTTGATGAAAAATCAAAAGTGAGAAAGACTTGAGCTGTTTGGAAAATAATATTGCGTAGCTTATGATATCAAAGTGTATTTACAAGAAATAAATGTTTTGAGTTTAACATGTTTTCAATGCATGCTACGTAAGCTATTTCGCAAAGGAAACAATAAAATTATATCATTTCAGGTATGCAAGTTGAGATAACCGCTTATAACGCTATTATGATAAACTATAAAGAAAACACCCTCAATCACCAAAAACAGATATTTACAAACACCTATTAAATTATATTAATGTTCTAGCCTCGCGTTCTATCAATTATTTCCTGCCCTTTCTTCTCCTCCCTGGTGAACTGGAATTCGTCTCACTGACAACAATATCTCCTCCCGCCAATTCTGGATTATCTTGCATAGAATTATGGGCAGAGAAATGGCACATGAGATCCCGAACTTGTTCTTCAAGGTCTTTGATCATTTTATCTTTTTCTTCCATCTGAGCTTCAAAATATTGTTGTTTTCTTAATAATGAAGCCGTCATCTATATCAGATAAGGGTATTCAGGTAAACGTTCTGGCCAATAAACACGTAATTATTATACCTGCGCAAACTTACTTCTTTCTCCTCTTTGTATTCTTTTTCGATTTTCTCCGCCTTTTCTTTCACCTTCTCGTACTTTTTCTCAAGAGCCCGTTTATCTTTCTCAAGACTCGGTATCCTCTCTTTTTCAAGCACGTTTTTGTCATTTATTGCTTTATCCCTCTCACTCTTGAGGACTTTCATTTCATCAGATATACTTTGGACTTGTGCTGACAGAGATGAGAGCTGAAGGGTGATTGAATTGACTTTTTCTTCATAATAAGTCCGTTGAGAAGACAGTTGCGTAGTCAAGAGGTATGAATACTCGAGACCTATAGCATCAATTTTATCCTGCAGTTGGCATGAAAGCAAGTCATACATAAGTTTCTGCAAGTATGTGAAAACATACTATTGAACAATAGTATACCTGTCCAGCTTGCTCGGTGGGTGGCGCCTGGACTTGCGGGGGCGCATTCGGGCTGGGTAGTTCAACTAGCTTTCCATCAGACTTGTTTTGAATAAGGCGATGCACGTACCTGAACATTTGATAAACACCTACTATTAATATACATTGCTCTAACGCAGGCAAACGTTCTCAGTTCTGCTTACCCATCCCCAGCATAGTCCCATACTCGCTGTGTTTCCAATTCTAAAGCATACAGATGGGATGTCTGTTCGTAATGGCTATATGCATGTTTTTCTTGGTATCTCCCACACCCGATATTTCCACATAGAAGACATATCCATAGATTTTCCGTCGCACCGCAGACACCACACTCATTCTGTTCAAGGGAATTTTCCAGAATGTCCCGCTTCTGAGAATACCGGCAGACGGGACAACTAATAAGATATACAGTGAGTAAGTGAAATTGGTTTTACGTTACTCTCATCAAGAATTCATACTCTCTTCTCACCTGCTGTCACCCCACTTGCTCAAACAATGACAATGAAAGGTATGCTGACACAATATAGTCAATAATCCTGTGACACCTGCGTCCATTCTTTCTAGACAAACGGGGCATGTTGGCAATTCGTACAGTGAAGAAGCAGCAGAGCTCTCATCTGGCGTTTTTGTCTTAGAACCGTCTTGGTCAGATTCAAAAGGGTCATAAAGGAAAGGGAAAGCGTATGGTGGCAAAGAACTAGAGTGAAACTCTATGGATTGGACGTAGACTATATGGCAGATTTCAGGCTTTAATGGAACAGCGTGTTAGATACATTAGAATGACGTAAAAAAATAAGTAGGTAAATCCAAATCTCACCTCCATAGAACTAAATGGACGTCCGTTGAATTGATCATAAAAATCCCTCGCCGCTCGCGGGTGACGAAACTTCATCAATACCATATACTTGTTTGGTGCAGAGTCTCTATCAAGTCAACTGGTGTTATTCTTAAATGTCTACAATCATCAAACGACACGACACCCTCCAAACCATGCCCAAGTCTCTAACTTTTTATAATCCTCACCTAATCATTCTAAAATGACTGACATAGTTTCTCACAGGCGCAACAAATCCCAAAAAGTCAGACGCACTCATATATGATGGGACTGCCAAAACAGCCAATATGGTGCCAGCCGTATCGTGGATGCTATTATTCTCTTCAACAGACTGTGATTGAATATTTTGTTGTGGTGATGATTGACTATTGTCCTTTATTTCTTTTTTGCCTCGATACAAGTGCAATATACCATAACTGATATTAGTCACGCCCGATTTTAAAGGAATAAATTCGCCTGTTGGTGGAATCACATTGTGATTGGTAGAAGAACGCGATTTGGAATTAACAGGTATGGACGAATCAGAGGTAGTATTTGCGGTTGTAGCTATTGTTGCAGTTGCCGGAGATGATATAGTTTGGCGCCCTGTGCTCACGCGTGCATCAGCCTCATGATTATCTTCATTTTTACTCTT